TTTAATGCCAGTTGTCTTAATTAGGTTTAATTTGATATGAGAAACAGGAGATAATAAGCAACTCCGGGAAGCCAAATATCCTTGAGGATTGATTATTAAAATCATCAAAACTCAGTCAAAAATACATTAATTCCGATTCGGAATGCTTTTCTATGCTAGTTTTTAATAGGTTAACTTATCTGCATACTAAATTTTAAAAATGAAAAAATTTAATTTTTTTAGTTAAATTTTGATAATTTTAACAACTTAAAAATTTGTAAAAATTTTAAAAAATTTAAATTTTTTCGGACATAGCTAAATCGATTCAGCTATTAATGCTGATCAAGAATATATATGATTTATAGGGTCGGAAATGATTCCTTCACATCGTTACCACCTCCTAACTAAAATTAAAATACTCTGCAAGGTTGTACAGAGAAATATTTGAAAAGGCCCTTTTGTTCATTCATAATTAGTTGACCTTTTTAACTTTTTGGGCTTTTAATTGAAATGCCAAACAGGAAGAAATATACCTATAGATTTTCGCTACACATTCATTAAAAAACTTTCGGGGGCCAAGAGCAACACGTTCCGAGTTGCAAAAGTTTTGGCGATTGTCAAAAACTATAAGAAAAGACAAGCCAACCGCAAGAAAGAAAGCCGCCGCACAAAAAGTTCCGGAGTCACTGCAAGGGTGACTCCGGTCCGGAAGCTGTCCCTAGATTCTCTCAGGGAAATAAACAAGCTTCTTAAATAAAGTGAAATAAAATAGAATAAAATAAAGGAGAATGAAATCAAAATAAGCAAAGCAGCGGCTCTGAATCAAACTACAACTGGTTTCTATGAAAGTTTGACATTTGCTGCGAAAAGGAAGAGGCTGAGAATGGCTGGCGGAGATGCAAATTAAAACAATGTCTGCAGTGGAGTTCCAGAGATCCGGCAACAATTTACCCTGTCCGCGCTGATTAAACTCCGTCCGGAGAGAGAGAGAGGCCAAGGCAGTTCCACTTCCTCCTGGAAGTAAATCTTTCATCAGTCCCGCCTCCTCGACGGGGATTTGCTGGCGGTGCAATTTGTCCCCGTACTTTGCTCCCAGCTTTTATCCTCCACACATACACTTGTCATACTATTTATGAGTTTATTATTTTCTCGGTACTCTATTATTTAGCCATCCCGCCCCGAAGATCCCCATGTCCTCGTCCTCGTCAGGCCACCTCATCCGCTGCTCTGCCGAGCCAAATCCTTTCGCTGGGCGCTTAAAACTTTCCTTCTTTCATTGCAAGTGCTGCAATTTTTCACAACTTTTTGAGCAACATTTTTTCCACATTCCTCACCCGGCACCCTAGGAGTCCCCAGGCTTCCTCTGCCCCTTCCTCATGCGTTTATGTTCAAGTTATTTATTTAGTGGGTTTATTTTCATACCCTTTCAAGGGGTTTTTTTGAGTTCCAAAAGAACATAAATAGCATAGAGTTGAAGCGTTTCGAATGTTTTTCTTTTTTTTAACTCTGGGAATAATTTGAAATGTATAGTTTTTTTATGTAGACTGTTAAGGGTAAAATATTCCATTTCAAAAAGGTGCAAATCTATAACAAAGATATCAATTTAAAGGTCTCTTAGCCGGGATCAAGTTAAAATGTTTTAAAATAAATAACTTCATAGTTATTTCTTTTATTTTATTTAAAAACCATAGAGCATTCCCTATTTTGCTTGGCAAAAATTGTAGTTTTAATTTGCTTCGTTTCCTGCTGGTTATATATTTTTTTTTTTGTTTTAACTCCTCTTTTTACAGTTGCTTAAATTGTTTGTAATTTTTGTCCGTGGCGTTGTTTCTGTGTGTTTCGGTTTCATTATGACAGCAGACGACGACGAACTGCCTTGGAGTTTGCTCCCAAAGCTATTTTTACTCCTTTTTTGTTGGCTAGATAAATAGTTTTTCCCCTTCTCGCACTACAATGGGGTTGGGAGGTTTTAATTATTGCCAAGCTGAAACCGCAAATGGGAAATGTCAAAAATTGCGAGAAAATGCTTGCAGAATTAGTTGCCGAAATAAGACTTTTGATTACAATTGAAATTGCCGAAAAATTCAGAGATTGTAGATTATCATTCATTTGTTTCCATTTTACATTTTGGTAAATGACAAATCCCTGAAGGGGAATGCATTTTTAATGGTAAACCACAAGACCTTTCGAAGGGGCCAAAGTCAAACCGAAAGTTTTTTTTTGCAAATCTTGGTATTTATCATTCATGCCGCATGTTGCTTGCAATCGAAGAAAACATTCAGGAAAATCTCTAACTAAATTCAAGTTGCCAAGCAAAAGCACTCCGGGCTTAGGGATAGGGAATAAGTTTTCGCAACTTTACAAGACACTGGCAAGATTTCCGCTCAAGTATTTACCACTCATATGGATAAAATGTGCAACAGACAGACTCCGGAGCACTTATTTTATTGACTCGCCCCCGGGAGAGACAGATACAATTCCGACACCTGGAAACTAGAGTTTTCCCAGGTTGATAATTTCAAAAGTTTTCTTTCCCCCTCTTTCCCTTTCCCTTTTCCCTTCCCTTCCTCTTTGATTTGCATAGCCCTCAAAAGAATGAAAATAAATGGTTCAAGAGCCAGTGCAAGCATTTCGATTTCAAATTTGTTGTTTGGCAATTGAACAACTCCGGCCTGGGCCGGGTTTTTGTTAGAAATTTTGCATTAATTTGTTTTGATTCTCTACCCCCGAAAACCCTCCTCCTAGTTTTCCCCTCCCGAAATACTCATAATATTGTTTCTTTTCATATTTCATTGGAAAATTAAATTCCTGGCATATTGGTATTTTTTTATTTTTTGGCACAGCCTGCAGACCGAGACCCAAAATCGCACCCAAAGCCAGACAACAACAGATGCCACGATGGGTCTCTGGCGAGTGGGTTTCCCTCTTGGAAAACATCAACATTTCCATCTCTAGGTTTTCACTTTCATTTTTAGCATGACAAGCATTTGCTGGCCATTGAACATTCAATGGAAAATCTCAAAAATAAAAGAAGGAAAAGTAAGGCAAGGGAAACCTTATCATTTCTAAATATTGGAATAAAGTTCAACCTTGCCCTTACATACACACACATTTTCAGGTATTTGCACAAAGGTATATCAGTATATATAGGTAGATATTTCTTATCTAACTGTTACTCCTTTCTGTATTTAGTAGATTTATTTATCTGTAGGAACACCGAGCTGATTGCCGTTGATCTTCCGTCCGGCAAATCCATAACCTCTCCTTATCAGCACCGTCTCTGCGCTTCTCTTATCTCTGCCCGGCGTGCAATCAATCAGACACAATCGCACGAAGGGCAACTGGGAATGGAACTAGGAGTGGGTCCTCTCTTTCGCTTGGCTGTTGATTTTACTACAAAATAAATACGCGTCGCTCAGCGGGGGGAAGAGGGGCAAAAGACTCAGTGGAATAAATAATATAAAGTCCAAACTGATAAGCAAAACATCAGAGGGAGCAGTTTAAACAGCGACACAGGCGGCATGAAATCGAAATCAAATCAAAACAAAAACTGGAAATTCCATTGACAGCCGAAGTACTGATACCCTGGAAATAATTCAGTCTCGGCCAAAAGCCCCTTAAATATTATTATTTTACCCAAAATGGACCAGATTCCGACTGCCCTTCCTTGCAAATCCTTTGAAATATGGCATGGTCATGGACATATCCATGTGTGTGGGAGACAACGTGTCAGCGGGAGGTCCTTTTTGGGCTCCGATAACACGAGATGACAGCCATTAGGAAACGGACTGCAGCGGTGACTTTGATTGTGCTGGCATGCGTGTGATATACGCGCGACGATTTCATTCATGCCTCTGCTCTTGGGTTCCAGCTCCCCAGCTCCCAGCTCCCGGCTACAGATTCAGATTCAGATTCATATACAGATCCCGGCATTCATTCACTACGCATTTGGAAAATCGAGAAGATGTTCAGCGCAAAAAGACACAGCGAGCCTCTAACGTTATCTGCTAAAAGGCCTGACAACGGACACTGACAAAAAATGGGGGGAGTTCTTTTTATAATATTTTATTAAAGCAGGTTTTACTAGAGATGGATTTTGAGAGGATATACATCGAACATATTGCTCATTTTTATTTGAAAATTGGAATATTGAAAAATATTGTCTGTATATCGAAATTATTGGAACATTTTATTTATTTTATTTTATTTTATATTTTATATATCTTCAAAATCTTTAAAACATTATGTTTAGGACCCCTTTATATTTTATTTGTATTGTAAATTAGAATATTGGAAATTTCTCTTCTGTATATTTATTGGTTGGTATTATTGGAAAATGTTATTTAGTTTAATTTTTTTTATTAATATTTTTAACATCTTTGAAGCATCATTTTAAGAACCTCTTTATATTTACTTTCAAAAAAAGCTTGAAGATTAATCTTTTCTTTGACATATTGACTATAAGCCTCAACTTTTGATACACTATGGATATATGGAATATTTCTGTTATATAGTTTATTTTTTTTTTTTTATTAATATCTTTAACATCATTTTAAGGAACTCTTTACATTAACTTTCAAGAAATGCTGAAGATTAACTTCTTCTTTGGCAAATAGACCATAAACCTCAACTTTTGATACATGGATAATATATTGATATATGGAATATTTCTGGAGTCTTTATATTAATTACTCTGATGAATCATTTTCTAATAGATTAAACTACCCCTTTTTTTTCTTAGTGCATTCACAGACTACGTACGTATCTCTGTGTGTGTGCTCTGTCGATAGTCGGGGCAGCACGAGAGCCTGCGAACGACCGAGCGGAAAACGAGCGGCGGAATGGCAGCATCAGGCATCAAGAACAGAAGCAGCAGCGCCAGAATCCAACGGCACATTCGTGTTTGCCGCTTCGTGGGCAACGGACGCATCCTCAGAGCTCAAACCGAGTAAAGAGCACGGCAGAACGGAAGCGGAAACGAAAGCGAGGGAGAAAGAGAGAAAGTTCAAGCCTGTTGAGGTTTTTTGGCGGCGCGTTCGAACCGGAAGTAAGGATAAATTCACTGTTTTTCTGACTTGGTCGCCACTTTGGCCGCCGCTGTTCCGACGTTGCGCCGTCGCATTTAATTCCATGGTTACTCCGTGTGTGTGTGTGTGTTATGGGTGCCTAACGTACCGGAAGTGAGCCTGCCACTCATTAATGGCCGCCGGCTTTTTGTGAAACCGGAAAGAGTGCTAATTACGCAGCAAACCAACTAATTGATGTAAAAAGTTTCCGAAATTAACCTCAAACCGAGAGCCACATGTCGGATTCAAAGCCGTTGAAATCGTTCGTTCGCCTACGTGTTAAATATATGTGGATTTGAATTGGGAATCAGTCTGGAACGCCGATAAGATCGGGTCAAGAGTTCAATAGTCGTAGCCATTCAACCGATGTCCCGGGCTTTATAAATAAAGTGTGTGAAGTGATAAGCTACGGGAGAGAGAGCCGAGAAGAATCTCTCGAATCTTCCTTAATCGGGGTTGTGAAATGCTGTTTAAAAAAATGTTAAAATAAAAATAAAATGTTGCTGACAAAACAACAAAATTATTCAAAGAAAACGTGCCAATTTAAAACTGATTAGATGATCTATAAAAACAAATTATTTCTGATTTTAATGACGTGTGTTTTTGTGTATTTTAATACTATGCAAATTATTAATTATTTTAAAGAACTTTGTGATAGTGTATAAAGTTACATTAACTCATTTATGGCAAAGCAACTTTGCTTAGAGATAATGGTATGAAAAAAAAGAAAATATTCTGCGAAAAATAGATTAACAAAGCCATATGAAACGTGCAAGTGTTTAAAGCTGATAATTAATAATTGATAACAGATTCCAGAATGGAAACAGACAACAATATTCATCAATGTGGATCCGCTTCCGCAGCTAAGTGAAATATATGAGATTAGCTTTTAATGCTGTTTTTCTTAAATACAAAAATAAATATGTATACGTTCTTACCAACAGTTTTGTTTTCTGAAATTTAAGTAATAGTTGATTGTAATAATATTCTACAAATGAACAGTTTAGATATCAAAAGGTTGAAAAAATTGTGTGCGTAATTTGTAGTTTTATTTCCTTTTGTAGATAATTAATTTAAGATCTTAAATATCTATAGAGAAAAATCAAGAGAAGCTAGAATTTCTCATAAAATACTTGTATTTCTATGAACCCAAGCTTATTAAATGTATAATGTCCTCAAACCTTGGCTCAACCATTGAGAATTCGCATTTATTTAAGTCTCCGTCAAGTGCAGAAAGGGGAACTCAAAAGGTATCCGCTTTCTCTGTTGAGAACTCCAAAGCCCTTGGCGCATTTATTGTTTTCCACGCCACATGGCGTATGCTTGCTGTTTTCCTGTTGAAATCCACACACACTCACACACACACACACACACACATCCACTCAAGGCATTCGCAGGTGACAGATTCACGCACAATGCAGGTGAAAGGATTAGGGCTCCTCCTGTGACACACTGCTCCCATTGTCAGTGTGCCTGTCATGCAGCTGCTTGGGAAGTGCATTAACGGAGACAAACCCACACTGTCCACGGGAGGAGCGGCTTTTCTTTAATTTCCTCAAGCGATCTGTCCACTTGTTGTTCTTTGGCCACCACTTAGCCCCGAGTCAGTCCAAAAATGTCGCCCCCCCAGAACAGAACAGTTGACATCAATCTGCCCCAAAGGTGAACTCTTGCATATGTCTTATGTCTTGGGCTCCAGACATGATAAGCCAACGGGATTAGGGAGAAAAATCTGTGCCGAAAGCAAGGCAAATAAACCACTTTGAGGGAGAGACCCCAGAGAAGAAAACTAGCTGCGTATATATATATATATGTATATGGTTGCAAATACTTATTTAAGGCTTCATTATGACCCCACATAAACCCCATCTGCGCTTATGACTAGACACCACGAAAATGCTTGGGAGCAACACGTGCATTCCGCTTTCAATTAGAGTCCCCCTCTAAGGAGGGAAACCCTTAAAAGGAAGCTTAGGCAGATGGCACTCGAGGGGGAACTATGGTCATATTTTTTTTAATTACAAAGCCATAAAAATTAAACGAACCAAAAGTGAGGCAACGACGACTGCGACTGGGAACTAAGTAGCCTAACGACAGCAGCCACAACAGCAAGAGCCACACAGGAGCAGGAGCCAAGGCAGGATAAAAATGAGGCAGGAAGTGAGTGGAGAAATGGCAACGATTTAAGCCACATTAAACCAACAGGCAGACAAACTGGCTGCGAGGAGGTGGCTGCTCGCCAGGATGAAGCACGAGCACTATTTACAGCCAACTGCTCGGCAACACCTTCCAGCCGTGGGGAATCGGGGTATGAGGAATGCCTGCACTTGACTGCAAGTCACCCAAAATGGCAGGGGAATATATTTTTTTTTTGTTCAACGTTTAAACCAAATTTGCATAATAGTTCTTTCTTCTCTTTACCGTCGCAACTGGCATCAAAATCTAAGTGAGCATTGCCAAATTATGCAAATGTTTGCCAACTGAAAGTGAGCGAGCAAGCGAGACTCGAGCTTTAACACCAGCAGCCGCCGTACCACGGTGCGTATGCGTATTGATTTAACCAGTTTTCCAGGCAGTAAATGGATAAAAATTGCAGGGAATGGTAAAGGGAAATTAGGTGAGGTGAAGAACCAAAAACCCTGAAGTCTTATTAAACTTTATTTTCAGATTTTGTATAAAATTACTTCGGGCAGGTTCTTAAAAAAACTTGTTTTTAACAAGAAACATAACTAACTTTGGGAAGCTGCAGTTTAAAAATCTCTGCAGTTTGCAACTGAATTATAGGATTCAAACGGAAATCAATCAGAACTAAACTAAAAATAATCGCATTCCTTGAATCGATATCAAGCGATATTTTTATATTACAATTTTTCGGAAAATCAAAGTTTAAAAAAGTCATAACTTAACCAAAAATCCATCAATTTCAATTTGGAAAGCTTTCCTAAGCTAGTTTTTATTAGGTTAAAAAATCTGCATACCCAGTTTAAGATCTTAAAAAAAATTTTTTTTCTCAAACTTTAACAATTTTATGCCTTAAAAAATTGTCAAAATTTTGAAAAAATTTAATTTTTACCAGACATGGCTAAATCGATTTAGCTTTTAATGCTGATCAATAATATATATGATTTATAGGGTTGGAAATGATTTCTTCACTAAGTTTTAAGCTTCTGAAATAACTTACAATAGCCTTCAAGGGTATGCATACAAATTCAGTTTGGGATTTGAGTTTTCCTAGACGTTTCCCTAGCTTTTCCTAATATAAGTATTCTTTTAATTTAAACATATTTTTAATAAAAGAAATTTAATAGAATTGAATAAGGAATGAATTGTCAGGTCTTTAAAAGTGGAAGAAATTTACCAGAGAGCTTTAGTTGTTCCTTTGTTCACCTCACCTTTTCCTAGTAAATCATTTTCTAACGTAAAAAAATTGGCAGGAACACACAGTAAAAATCGTTTTGTTCCCCTCTCCTCTCCCTCGCCTCTTCACTTCTTTTTTTACTCACCTGCCTTTGCTGGTACTCACAGTTTGCAGGTGGAAATCACGCCTCTGGCAATTTTAATCTCGTTTATTAGCCATTTTTCAAGTGATACACATAATTTTCAATTTTCCAATTTCTCAGGCAGCACACGAACAATTTCCACCCGATTTCCCTTTGCTCCTTTTCACTCCTTTTCGCACCTTTTACCCCTCACCTCCTGTGGGCCCCCATTGTCTTTATCGAACATGAAAAAATGCATTGCATATTGCATGCACGTCGAAAAGTGGAGGAGCAACGACGACGACGAGTGGAGCAATGGACAAACATGGCGCCCATTTGGAGGCCATTAGGGCCAGTTCAGTCGGCGTAACTGGGGAGCAGCCGGAAAAAACAAAATGGATTCACATGGCCACCAACAATAACAAGGAGCCTACGACGTAGAGCCAAGCTTGATGGCGCTCCAAACGGGAGCCAGGTGCCGAAAATAAAAAATAACAAGAAGCGAGGAGATAGTTGGGGGTTATGACTATTAGATACCCGGTATTTATAACGGAATATTTAAGGATTCTAATGAAATATCCTACAGTTGTCTCTGAATTCCTACAATTTGCAAAAAAAGTTAATTAATCTCTCTTTTAATTAATAGAATCTCTTTTCCTAGCCTCTCTAGTTTAATTAAATACCAGATATACAAGCTGAAAACCCCTCTCCACTCTTCCCCTCTGATATAAACTCCAGAGAATTCAATGTTTTGTCCAGCTTTTACAAGGGTTTTACCTGCAACGAGCATTCCAGGGAATACAAGAAATTTCTTATACCGAATTCAACGGGTATAAATATGCCTGTTGAAAAACTAATAGAAGTCAGAGGGGCTTATTGCCCTTTGATCCCCAACCCCTACCCTGTGCGTTTTTTTTTTCGGCGGGAACAAACTGTTCTGCCTTTATGCAATGACTGCGCTCTTCCGTTGTCATCGTTTCCGGTTCCTTTTGTTGCTGCTGCTGCTGCTTCCGGAGCTGCTGTTGCATGCGCTACGCACTTGAAATTCTCGAATAAACGCATGCGAATATAAGAGTTTGTAATGGAGGAGAGCTGCGCCTTCCTTTTGGATTTATTTTTTTTCAGAGCTGGCCCCAATTTAGTGAGGAACTCCTCAAAGTTGATGTTTCCTTCGCTGCATGCGCAACTTTCTTTCTTTGGCTCCGTACTTTGTTATTAGATTTGCATGCCAGCAGCGACGACGACGACGACGATGAGGATGAGAATTTCCGCCTGGCAATTCATGCGGAACATATGGATGGCAGTGCGTGTATGTCCTGGCCCTTGTTCCCTTCGCTTCTCCATCCAGGAAGGTGCTCCATTTTCCTGCCCTCCTCCGGAAAGTTGTTGCAACAAACGTAATTGCATTTACTTCGGAATTTATGTTAGTGCAAATTTCTTTGCTTTTTATTCCCTTCCGTTGAACCAGGGACAGACAGCGGGTTTAGAGCAAAGGCAAGGGGTCAGAGGTTACTCTGAGTATCATATGCCAAATCAATGAACCATTCGTTTATTCATATTCCAGGGGATCCTATATATTCTATATTACCTTTAACTTACAAAATAAATAGCAAGTACTTCAAGAAATACAGAAAAAGTATTTACAATAAAGTTACTTGATTTATGCCATTCAATATATGTTAGTTATTTATGAGAAGTTTATTAAATTTCCTGATAAATTGTAAAAGAAATTTCTGAAATGTTTTATTTTTGTACTTTTCGGATACTTTTTGAGACAGTGATGCCTCGAAAAAGAAAACAATGTTCTTGTTTAATGTTCAATACTTTATGGCTTCTTTCTTATTTCAAATACATTGTTGAGCAAAAATTTCAAAACATTAATTTGTATAAAAAAATATTTATTCTAATTTTCCTTAATTCTAGCTAAAATTTCCGTATCAGAAAATGATTTCCACTCGCTTGTTAACATTTTAAAATATATTTTAAATCCCTATTTGCTAACCAAAGAGCATTCACATCACTCTGCTCTCCAGAAATCGACTTTTCAGATGTTCTTACACTCGCTAACAATCTGCTAAAGTTAACCCTGCGCCCTGCTCCCTGCTCTTTTCTCTGTTCAACTGCAACTTCACCTTCACTTGAAAATTGCATTTTTACCAAAATGTTTGCCTGGGAAATGTTCTATGAGAGGTGCCCAGGGATACTATGTGTGCTTGTGTGAGGTGCGAGGCTGTGAGACTTTGAGTTCGTGAGGGGGAAATATGAAAACAAATGGCTCCTGAGTTCCTTCGGCTTTGGCCAAGTAATCGTAAGTTTTGTTTGCTCGGGGAGTGCAAGTTAAAGGGGGAAAATGAGGGGGAAACTCGAATTTATGTGCACTCTGGGCTGTTATGCTGCCGGTTTTTTTTCGGCATTTGATTCTTGGGGTCTTAGGGTCTGAGGGTCACGGGGTCTCGGGGTCTAACTGGATATGGATAGCACCGCTCACAGGCTTAGCCTGAAAGTGCAGCAAAAATCGTCAAAGTTCCGCACAAATCCCATTTCCATTATTATTATTCCGGCAAATCACAGCCAAATTATATATATATTTCTGCATACCCGATATTACTATTCCTATTCGGAATCCAAACCCACGTCCTCGGTGGCCTTTTCAAGCACTCGCGGAAGTTAAGCCGCTTATCGTTTATCAGCTTTGTCTGCTCTTTGGAAAAGAAGGGGAAAAGTGGTGAAGGGAACTCGGTGGAAAAACACGAATAAAAATATTATTTAATTTGTTTTTAAGGACAATCAAAAAAGAATAATCTCCATATCAGAAGGAAGAACTAGCAAAATCTGTTGAATGTATTATTAAAAGGTTTAATATATTACTCTTATAAAAAAGCCTTAAAATTTTAATTATGATGCTGTTTCAATATAAATACAAAGATTATGTAATCTTTGATCAAAAATTCTTTAATTTTAGTTATTAATATATATCTAAGAATTTGTTATTGCTCCTTAAAAGCACTTTGTTTTTTTCTCTGTGCATCCGTGAAGCAGCAAGTTGACCTAAGGGGCATGGGACAGAGATTGAGGGTCTTGGGGTCGCCGCTGACAAGGAGATAATATTTGTGGAGTGGCAGGGATGGGCAGGAGCAGCAGCTCCCGGCTTAGTGTGAGCTGCATACAAGTTGGCATTGTTCCTGGTTCCTTTTATTCCGAGGGGCGCTAATCGCAATGCACCGAGCGTGGAAAACTGAAAATTGATAAGCTGCATTGATGCCAAAACCAATTTTGCCCTAACAGCAGGAACTAATATTTCAAATATATATGGAAAAGGAAACCCCTTAAATTTCAAAATATTACATATTAAAACCCCAGACTCTAACAATATAATTTCTTCTCCATTTACTATCTGAACTCCATTAATTGCAACGAAATCCACATCAGCAGGAGAAATCTGCTCATCTTTTTTACCAAATGAAACGCTGACAGTTGAAAAGTAATAAAAACTTAAAAAAACGAAAGAGAGAGAACTAAAAGCTCCGATAAAACATATAGGAAACTGCAATTTGGCCCGATTGGCGTCAGCAGCGTGATTTGCAATCATTATTTACCCGAGAAGCCGGGAGCCAGGAGCCACCAGCAAACGCAATTCAATCTGTGACAGCCGCACACAAGGATTCCGACAGCAGATCGAGAGGGGGGAAGCAGGGAGAAGTCCTCGATGGAACGAATTGATGTACAACGCCATTGCTAGCCAAATCCGGGAGCGGGAGCAGGAGCAGGAGCAGGAGCAGGAGCATAAGTTGGAGCAGGAGTCGAAGTGCAAAAAAGTGTTAAGTGCTCTCACTGTTTCTTGCAGCAATCATTGTCAGCAAGCACCCCCAACCGCAATCAGACCACAGGAACAGGAACAGAAAGAGAAACAGGAGCAGGAGCAGGAGTTGGGACAGGAGTTGGGACAGTAGGTGGGACAGGAGTTGGGACAGTAGATGGGGCAGAAGCTGGTTCAAGAACTAGAGCAGGATGCACTTCAGAGATGATAATTTGAAGGATATTCTGGTTAAAGCTGATCTTTTTATAAAGAAAAATTCAATGGCAAAGATATATGAGATATATGAGCTTAAGGATCTTCTGAAGAATTTAATAAGTATTAAAAATACTGCCTAAAAGTATCCGAAATATATTCTGATATAAATGATACAACACATAAATCACAAATAAATGTGAAAACAATCTCTAGACATTCAAGGATTGCTCTCACATAGTATAATCAAAAGAAAAAAACCTGAAACACAACAATTCTTAAGAAAACCCCAAGTTTTTCTCTGCCAACTCTGGTTGCAGGATTTATATGCAGTTTCAAAGTTCAATACAGCAAAGTGCAAGAAGCAAAACAAAAAGAGTTTATACTTGTTTTTTTGCTTGGTTTTTGTGTTCATTTTTTTGTGTGGAGTGTGGAGTGTGTGTGCTCTAAAATCAAATGCAAATGCAAACAACAGTTGGCATCAATCGGAGCTGCACCCACACCATCCGCCTTCACTTTATTGCTGGAATTAATGACGGCGGACCGGGAGAGAGACTGAGACTCCTCCTTGGGTCTCGGTTTTGTGTGTTTTATGTGGAATCAAGTGGAAATTCAATTGATTTGCTTTGGCTTTGCATTCGGTTTCGCCGATGCCAGGGATGGGGGATGAGATGGGTGGGGATATATGTGTTATAATAATGGACGGATGACTCTGTACTGTGGTGGCTTCAAAGGAAATCCCAATAGCGTTGTTCTTGGCCAGAAAACGCACTTGAGCGAGAAATCATTTTGCAAATATTACGGCTCCCTTTGCCATCCGCTTTCCCGGGAGTTTCTGCTGGTGTCAGCCTGTCAAATCCGAGAGCGTTCTTAAGTTAACTCGGTTACCCGCTCGCTTTGTCCAATCAATTGCGAAATGTATTTAATTAAAGGCCGGAATGCCATCCCAGGGGCAGCCGGCTGTAAGTGATGTTCCATAATGAAGTCGTTGTTGAACTGGATTATCTCTTCGCCTTGCTGTACGGTGTGCTCTTCCTTCCAGGTTTCACCTTACTTACACACATGTAATCCTGTTCCCTATTCCGGCTGAAGAAACGTTGATCGTCTCCCCCTCAGATGAAGGAGCCCAGGATGGGAACTCTGAAGCCACTGACAGCCCTTTGGCTGCTCCTGCTCGTAGCACACATAGCCCAGGCAGCGAGAGAGAGTAGGTTACAGATTCAAATTATCCTTTTTAAATGCTATACTAATCCTCATTTCTAGATCCCCTTAAGGATCCGCGCATTTGCGGACGCCCACAGTGCCAAATCGAGAATGCCAAGTTCAGTTATGGCGAATTCCAGTACAAATACGATTACACGGTGGCCGTGCGAACCGAGTTCGCCGGTTCTGGTGACAATAGTTCAGATCTCTTGCTAAAGGCCAGTCTGGAGATATTCTTCCCGAAACCCTGCGAGGGTTACTTGCGGATCACCGATGCCAAGCTCTATGACACAATGGACGACGCCGTTTTGTCTGGAAACGAAAGTGACGCCGTCACCGAGGAGCCGAGGGATGTGTACGATTACTACGATAACGCTGGCAGCGAAGAGGCTGAGAATGAGAGCTTCAAGGACCTGCACCCCAAGAGCATTAGTCTGCAGCAGGACCTCGGCAAGAACCTGCTGCGGTTCTCCTATCACGATGGTCTAATCAGTGAAGTGTGTCCGCAAGAACAGGAGACACCCTGGGTGCTCAACATCAAGAAGGGCATTCTGTCGGCCTTCCAGAACACCATGATGCGTTTCGACGTGGACTCAAACACCACAGAGACGGATGTTTCTGGCCAGTGTGATGTGCAGTACTTCCTAGAGGACACGGACAGTGTGTATGTTAAGATTAGGAAGACGAAGGACATTGCATCCTGCCGACAGCGCTATGCCACACACTCGGTGCTGCAGACAACGCCGTATACCTTCCGCGATGACAAGACCATCTGGCCCATTCTCAAGTCTGAGAGTTATTGCAATGTGGGTATTATTTTAAGGATAATACATAACAAATAATAATTAAATACACCTTCCAGTTAACCATTGACAACAACGTCTATCGCGATATTAGCTGTGAGGAGACCCACCTGCTGGTGCCCTTCTCCAATGCCAGCTCTGGCGCCTTGACCACCAGTCGCAGTCACCTCATCCTAAAGGGCGAGGATCCCTACAGTGTTAGCGAGTTCCTGGAACAGAGTAAGTAAACTCATAGCAAACATAAAACCAAATTAATCCGATAACTAATCCTTGACAGATCCCGAGCTGGTGGAGCGTCGGGCCACCTTGATCTTTGATCACACTCCCGCGGTGAAGCCCACTCATGATGAGATCAAGGCTGCCCGGGAGCTGTTGGTGCAGATGTGTGCCGTCGGCTTTCCCAATATTCAGCGTGAGTTTATCGATGTCTTCACTAGCTTCCTGCAGACTTCCAAAAGTCTAGACTACAAAACCCTGTCCGTGTTGCTCCAGCGTTCGGCCAGTACCTGTGATCAGGGAAAGTGAGTGCTTAAATACCACATACCCTTTGCTGTTTCACTATTTATTCTAAATTCCCTTAGAAACCATGTCCTGGAATCCCTGCCCTACATTGGCAGCACTGCCTCGTACCAGGTAATGCGGGATCAGATCATTAGTGGGAAGCTACCCAAGGAGAAGGCCCACAGCTGGATGACCTCGCTCTCCTTCATCACACGCCCGGACGAACAGACCCTGGAGACCTTCTACACAATCCTCGAATACGCCAAGAACAAATTGGATCCGGAATATACCCTCGGAGCCACCGCTGTGGTCCACAGCTTCTGTAAGCACCACGAGAACTGTGAGGAGAACATGCGTGTCCAGCAGGTCATCAATTTGCTGGAGACCGAGTTCCTCAGCCTTTACAATCTGTTCAAGGGCGATCGCCGTAACCGTGAGCGAATGGTTGTCCTGCTCAAGGGTTTGGGCAATGTGGGTGTAATCTCTTCGGCCTTTGCCGAGCAACTGCAGTGGATAATCCGGGATGCAGAGGCCTCAGTGGATCTCCGTCTGCAGGCCATTCTTGCCTTCCGACGGGTGGACTGCCTCCGGCATCGCACCTTCTTCCTGGACAGCTATGCGAACTATACATTAAACTCGGAGCTGCGCATCTACAGCTACCTGCAGGCCATGCGGTGTCCGGATTACATTTCCGTGGGTGCCATCAAGGCGGTGCTGGAACACGAGCAGATCAACCAGGTGGGCTCCTTCGTGTGGTCACACCTCACCAATCTGGCCAAGTCGAACTCACCGGTTCGCATCGAGGCGCAGGGGTTGCTTCTCAATGACGAACTCTCGGATCGCTTCAAGTTGGACATCCGCAAGTTCTCGAGAAACTACGAGCACAGTTTGTTCTTCGACGAATACAACTTTGGCACCACCACGGATGCGAATGTCATCTTTGGCACGGATTCCTATCTGCCGCGGATCGCAAGTCTCAACTTTACCGCCGATCTCTTTGGACAGTCGGTGAACTTCTTTGAGTTTACGGCCCGTGCCGAGGGATTGGAGGAAATGGCGGCCGCGGCCTTTGGTCCAAAGGGTCCTCTGAGTGGTGAACTGCTGCGCAAGAAGCTATCGTTCCTGAACCGCTGGCTGGGTAATGAAAGTGCCGAGGAGGATGACACCATCGAGAATCTCTTGGGTCTGGACAACCTTCGGTTGAAGAGGAAAGCAACACAGCCTGCGGGTGGTGCAGATGATACCGATGAGGATGAGGATTATGACTACGAGGAGTCCCTGAGTGGATCCAGGCGGCACAAGCGGGATGCCGGCTCGGCACGGAAGCAGGAAATCGATCGCAGTGTGGATAGTCTTGGTTATAAGCTGAAGTATGACTACAAGAATCCACGGGCGCAGTTCGGTCTCCGGATCTTTGGCAACGATCTGCAGTACTACAATGTGGAGAACATGGTGGAAGTGATGGCTCTGGCCGCCCAGTTCAATCCCTTCCAGCAGGCCCAGAAAGTGCTCTCCGGCAAGGAGTTTAGCTACACAAAGTCGCGGGTCTTTTTGGATGCTTCCTACACAGTTCCCCTGGCCGTGGGTCTTCCGCTGGCCATTCATGCATTCGGAGCTTCGTCGGTGGATTTACGCATCAGCGGCAACTTGGAGGAGATGGATCCACCCACTGATTGGCACTTTAATGTCCAAGGTCAGTTCAAGCCCTCCGTTTCCGTAGACGTAATCACCACCATGCAAACGGACATGTTCTGGGAGCAGTCGGGCATCAAGGTGAAGAGCAACCTGTACTCCAACTCGGAGGTGGAGGCCAACCTGAAGGTGCGTGGTCGCAACCTGGTCTCCTTCTCCTTCAATCTTCCCCAGGACCAGAATGAAATTTTCAGTGTGCGATCCGAGCTGCTGGTGCACAAGCGGGAAGAGGAGGTGCCCCAGGCGGGCATTGTCAATCGCAGTGCCAACTCCACTTGCACGTGGCCCGTGCTGGATCAGGCCATTGGCCTGCAGATGTGCTCCCACTACAGCGTCCCGGATCTGAGCAATGCCACGGAGATTTATCCCAGCCTCCTGCTTGCCGGTCCCCTCAACTTTAGCCTGATCCTCAAGAAATCGGATCTAAGCGCCAAGAAGTACAAGTTCGAGTACAAATGGGATCAGCAGGATCTGGACAATAACTTTTCGTTGGTGTTCACCACCCCGGGTTCCAAGGTGCCGCGCGTCCTGGTCGCCAATGTGACCAAGGTGCCAGAGGCCTTCAACGCCTCCGTGGCCTTTGTGAGGGGCCCGAATCGTGTTTCTGCCGGATGCAGCTATGATGGCAATCCCGATTTCCGGCGACTGGATGTCTACCTGGATACGAATGGCAATCGATCACTGGATTTGGGCATGGAGCTGCGAAGAACGCAGGATTTCACTGCCTGGATATATAATCCTCGCATGCTGCTGGCCATCAATGGGGTGAACATCACCGGACTGGCCGGCACTGTCAAGGTGAACGAGAAGAATGGGATCAAGCAGCACGACGTGGATCTGTCCTTCGAAACCAAGAAGCTGCAGGCTGTCATCAAGGGCAACATTGTCCAGAGCGAAGTGACGACCTCAACCAACATGACCATAAAGTATAGGGTGAGTAATATTCATGAGCTTCCTTAAATTACAGGGTATACTTATTTTAGTCAGAAGCTTAAAACGTAGTGAAGGAGTCATTTCCCACCCTATAAATCATATATATTCTTAATCAGCATTAACAGCTGAATCGATCTAGCTATGTCCGGCACAAATTTATTTTTTTCAAAATTTTGAAAAAATTTTAAGGTGTTAAAAGGGTCAAAGTTTGACTAAAAAATTTAATTTTTTTAATGTTAAAACTTAGTATGCAGATTTGTTAGCATTTTAAAAACTAGCACAAAAATGAAATCCGAAATGAAATGAGTGAATTTTTAGCTTTGTTATGATATTTCAAAAACTGTGATTTTTTACAAAAAATTAACATATGAAAATATTGGTTGGTACTTTCTATAAGGGACATATTTTAGGTTTTTTTGTTATAATTGCTGAATTAGTCATTTCCGACCCAATAAATCATATATATTCTTGATCAGCATCAATAACTGAATCGATCTAGCTATGTCCGGACAATTTTTAATTTTTTCAAAATTTTGAACATTTTATAAGGGTTTGTCAAAAATTTAAGGAAAAATTTTAATTTTTTTAGATCTTAAACTGTAGTATGCAGATTTATTATCCTTGTAAAAACTAACATAGGACCACTTTCCGAATTAAAATTAATGTTTTTTTGGCTTAGATATGAGATTTTTAAACTTTTAATTTCCGAAAAAAATGTTCATATAAAGTAGAGATAAATATTAAATCGGAAAATGAGAATATTTAATTCACTTTAGTGATCAATTTCCTATTCAATCCTATAATATAATTGCGAACTGCAAGGGTATAAATACTTTGGCATCCCGAAATTCTTTTTCCTTCTTGTTCTAATTGATTTTACTTACAGTTCCAAGCCAACAAAATTGAGGAAATTAACTTTGCCGGCAAGCTGGTGGACAGTGGAGACAAGGCCAAGACGGAGTACCGTGGCAACATGAAGCTCCAGACGACGGCCTATCCCAAGCTTAACTTTGCCTCGGAGGCCACCTGGCTGAGTCTGCAGGGACACACAGAGGGAGTGATCACTTATAACAATGCTCCTCCCGACTACGTGGATCCCAATTTCACGAGCCTGTTGCGTTTGATCTTTGCCCGCTCCCACTCGGAGGACTCCGTCTGGGAGGGTTCACGCACCAGGGCGAGTCTAGAACTGAAGCTGCCCAGATCTAAGATCGACTACCGCATCATGGTCAAGTGAGTTTAGACATTTTTTGTCTGTAAAAATAAATCCTTAACTCATATTTTTTAAGGCATGAGGAGCGCATCAAGAACGGAACCGAGCATAATGTGATTGTGGGTCTAAAGTATGCTCCGGAGAAGGAGGTCACGGGTCTCTTTTCGGTGCATCTGCCACGCAGGAACCTCTTTGCCATTGATGCCTACATGAATGTAACAGTGCCGGAGTTTAATTCGTGCACAGCCCGGTTGAAAGTGAACGAGAAAGCCACCAAGGATTACATTGTGAGTGTTCACTTATTATTTAAAATAAGAAAGTTATGTACTGACTCATAATCTATTCAGATCTTCATCAATGGCTCCTGGTTCACTGGGCACTCGATTGCCATTAAAGCCAACTACAAGGATCGCAGTTCACGCGTCCAGGCCCTGCATCACCTCAAGATGATTGTGGAGAGTCCTTCGTTTGAGCTCACGTCCTTGAATATCGTTTATCGTCGCAACCAGCTACTGATCTTTTACGATCTACAGGCGAAGTATGGCAAGGATCCCTATGGTTTAACAATACACCACACCGCCAATGCACACAATCGCAACTCCAATGCGGAGGTGCGACTGAAGATCAAGGAACGCGACTACTGGATAAATGCCAAGCTACTGTCCGAGCAACTCAAGCTCCTCAATCTGGAACTGCACATAGACAAGTAAGTCCAGATCATATTTTAAAAAGGGATCATAAGACTTAATCCTTCCTAAAAATCCCCAGGATACGTGATGTTCACATCAAGGTCGGACTTCTGAATGTGGAGAAGCGCAAGGAGCTCTCCCTCGAGCTGAAGTGGGACGCCAACCGGGATCCCAGCCAAAGATTGGGTCTGCTGGCAGAGTACAATAATCCGGGAACGAAACACTACGATGCCAACGTGATGGTCACTTACCCGGAACGCACAATTAATTTTGGCTTTAATGCTTTCACCGGAGGACCCAAGTACTTTGGCAAGGCTCATGCCTCCTGGAGCATCACTGAGGTGATTGAATTTGACTATGATGCTGGCATTCTGCCTGATCAAACGCTCCACAATTGGGTGCGCGCCGAGCTAAGGACACCCTTTGAGGGCTGGCGCACTAACAGCCTTGAGGCTGGCGTTTACAACATGGACAACTTGATCCTTGTCAATTCCACTCTCTTCTGGGCGGATGACCAGAAGCTGCAGGTGGGCTACAAGAGCGACTATGACATCAACAATCAGCTGGTGAGCTTCGATGTGCGATTCGGCATCAATAGCACCATCAAGGACATACCCACGATCAATGTGAAGGTTGTGCACTGGCAGGATGCCAAGAAGGTGGACACGGAGCTGTACCTGGGCTACAGTGGCAACGATACCTTTAATACATACGGCATGGATTCAAGTTGGGAAATCAATCGGAATCAGCACTACCACAACGTCTCCGGCTTGGTGCATCTGATCAGTCCGTTCAAGGGCTATGAGAAGGGTGGCCTGGTGGCCCAATTCTCGCTGAGCGACCAGAGAGCCGTAAGTGGAGCTGCTTCTCTCAACTTTGATGTCCGGGAGTTCACCCTGACCATGGATGGTTACGTCAAGAAATTTACAGACAACATGCTGACCATAAATATTACCACTCCGCTGGAGAAATTCCCCACCATCAACGGTCGCTTTGGTCTGAACGAGAAGAAGCGTCATGCCGTGGCGGAGGTGAGAGCTCCCACTGCTGCATTGGGAGTGGAGGCCCTGGCAGACATCAAGAATCTCCTGAACTTTGATGTCAAACTGAGTCTGGCCACGCCCATCGAGAGCTTCCAGCAGGCGGCCATCTTTGCCCAGTTCAATCCTGAACGGGCGGATATGCGTGGATTGTGGAACAATGCCACTCTGGGATTCACGGGTGTGTGGCACATGCAGAACCTGACGGACTTTGAGTACTCCTACATGGTATTCACTCCATTGGCTGGCTTCGAGAAGAACGGCTTTGTAGCCCAACTCCTGAAACGGGATGAGTTTGTATTCAAGCTGCATGGCAAGTTCTCGAACTACAAGCTCGGCGTGAAGATCAATGGGAAGCCCAAGTCGGAGTTAATTAACCAACTGGGCAACAGTAAGATAGAGTTGGAGATGCTCTACGATGCGGACTTTAAGCCCCTGAACGCCGAGATGGACTACAAGCCGGATCCGGATGAGGAGTACTTCTCATACTTCACCGACTTCCAACTGGACACTCTGGTTTGGCCCACCATCGTGGGCACGGTGGACATTCAGGAGATCATTGATTTCTACCTGGTTGTGGGTCATGTTCAGCTACCGCAGGGAAAGCTGGAGTTCAAGGATCGTCTCCATTATCCTGACTACCTTAATGTACACAATCTGTTGACCGTATCTACTCCGTTTGCTGTGGCCCAGGAGGTCAAGTCAATTGTGGAATATCACATCGATTTGCATTTCAACTCCTTCTACGAGCGGGTCAAGTTTATGCTGAACGATGACAAGGACCTGCCCCGAGAACTGGGCTTCGAGCTGAACTACACCAAACTGCAGGACAATGTAAAGCCCAAGGCGCATGATGTCCAGCTCAAGCTCATCACACCCTACGAGTTGCTCCAGGAGATTGATATTCATGGACGACTGGAACTGGATGATAATGCCTATAAGGGCAACATTACCTCCACCACGGCGCATACACATCTTTCACTGGCCGCCTCTGTGGAGGTTAGTATTTAAAGCAAAGAAACTATAAGCTCTTTAAAACGTTGCTTAATTTTTAATATTTTAGAACGAAGACAACTTCCTGGAGACCTCAGTGGGTATTCTTTTGGAAACGGATGTCATTCCGCATTATGCCTGCCAGGTCTATTTCAAGAAGGACTTCTCAGCCGTGGACAATGCCATCGATATTCGCTTCGAGGTCACTGATAATGGCACTGTTAATCAGGTGAGTTTTTCGAGTGATAAAAGCTAAGACAAAGCATACTCAATCCTTTCCCCCTATCAGCTTCACATAGCAACGGATTGGCACACGGATCCCTCGTATATCGTTAATGCCAATGGCAGAATAAGTACCACCATGTTGCCGCTGCAAGTGGCATCCACTTCTGTTGTGGCCACTCGCGGTCAGAGCCCACAGCTTAGCTTTGATTTGAACTTCCTTAGCCAGGATGGCAAGAGCATTGCCTATGGCACAAGGGCCAACAAGAAGCAAGATGTCTTCAATATTGAGGTGTGGACGCCACTAAAGAACTTCCGGAACATCTCCATGCATGGCACTATCGCTAAGAATCCTCGCGATGCTGAACGTTATGATGTGTCCGGATACCTTTACAGGAATATGGCCACTTATGGCATCACAGGAGCAATTCGAATGTCTGACACCCTACCCATCGATGCCACTCTGAGAGTGCAGCCCAAGGCCGGAGGAAGGGATGGAGTAATTGAGTTAAATATCCATGAGGCGGGACCAAAAAAAATCCGTTTCTCATTCAGTGCCATCGAGGATGGCAAGATGTGCCAAATTTCCGGCGGATACAGTATCAATGATCCCAAAGGAGCCATGGATTTCTCCGTGTTGGTGGAGAGTACAGAGCCGGAGATAGCCCGCATCAATTTCAACGGAAACCTAAAGCCCACCCCCAAGGGATCATTGATGGGTGACATTAACTTGGAGACGCCGTGGAAGGAGCTGGGCATCGATTCGGTGAACCTACACTCGGATGTGGGAGTCACCAGCACTGGTGGCAACATAATTGGCGAATACAAGATCGGCAAGTTCATAGGACGCGGCAGTTGTCTGTGGTCCTGGATCCTGGGCGAAAACGTGCAACTGATCCTGGAGAGCTACCTGGAGCGGCCCAGTTCCCAACCCAGAATCGTCCACGCCAGTGCCAAGTACTTGAATCCGAATCAGACTTTCCAGCAACTGCAGACTGGCGGCCGCCTGAGTGTCGACTCCAAGTGGAACCTCGATGTGAACGGCAGTTTGCACTTCAAGTCGGTGGATGACTTTGAATTTAAGGTGCTCACCGAACTGCCTCTGCCAGTTGGGGATCGTCACGAGCTACGTGCCCGCTACGATGGCAATGTGATTAGCAAGCAATTCGTGGAGCCCAAGTTCTTCCTTGAGGCCAGCTACGAAGCTCTGGAGGCGCAGAAAAGGATTCTGTCCCGAGTGTCCTTCAGCAATAAGACCAGCGATCTGCACGGATTGGCCCACTTTGAGTGGGGCCAGCTACAAGCTCTATCCATCGTGGAGGGAGATTTCGAGTTGCTCCAGAAGGAGGGGGACCGTCGCGAGTTTTCCGCCAAGATGATCACACCCAAGTTCAAGGACGAGCACACCTTTGCCCTGGCCGGGCACTACAACAAGCAGGATACGGACTACTACAATGTGGTTTGCGCTTTGGACTATCCTGAGAGTCGTCGCATCACCGACCTGGACGTGTCCTTTAGCTCGCTGAGCAACATGCATGGCAATTTCAACAGCACCATGCCATCGTTCCTCAATGTCAGCTGGTTTAAGACCGATTTTGAGTTCACTACCAAGAGGTGAGTGTCTGTGCTTTGAGTAAAAATCACATCTTTAAATATTTTATGCTTAATCTCTCTTGCAGTGGAAAGAGCTACCGCTACTGCCGCTGCGCCTGGCCGCAGGACTCGGCATACTTTAAACTGAAGAGCACCTATGACAGCGACGATGCCAATGGCAACCACAATCTCAATGGTAACGTGGAGGTAGAAGTTCCTCTGGCCACTCGCCATCGGGCGGATATCAAGTATGGCCTGCAGAAGAGACGCAACCAGGACTTGGGCAACATTCTGGTCGTCTACAACGATAAGCAGGCGCTAGATGGCAAGTATAAGCGTCTTGAGCAGCAGAAGCATCCCATTTACAAGGAGACCACGGACATTACACTGGAGAATGATATGAAGCCCCTGGGCATACACTATGTCAACACGAGGGACTCCAGCGATCCCGCTGGCACCCAGGATATCAAGCACTTTGAGGTCTTTGAACTGCGAAATACTCAAAACTTTAATTTGACTGGAGAACTGCATACTCGGACAACGCTTCAGGCCCAGGACTTTAAGGTGGTGGCCATTCATCCCAACCGAGCTGTGGTGCTGAGCACCAAGTACGAAGATGTTAGCCCTGAGGTGGTGAGGCAGCACACCAAGCTGGAATTATCCGAGACGGCATGGATAGGCTATAACCTGGAACTGGGCAACTTTAGCAAGGTATATATATTAACCTAAACTATAATCCCATAATCCGCTAAGACCCCTCTTTCGTTAAGGTTGGCAACGAATCTCAGAGCTTTGCCCTGGAGATCTTCTACCCCAAGCGTAATCTCTCGTCCTCGGGCCGGTACTCCTTGACGGACAAGCACTTCAATTCGGACCTCTCCTTCCACTGGGCGGGTGGTGACTACGATCGTCAACCCAAAACGATTCACAGTAATCTGCAGTGGACGGCAGAGCCACTGCGTCGAGGAGATCGCGAGCATCGCACATTTGCATTAACAGTGGCACATCCTCTTCTGGAGAAGGACATCAATTGCAAGGCAACATACTACCGGGGATTGCAGGATCTTCTAAGGACACACCTCACCATCGATTATTCAGACAGTCCCGAACAACTCATCGAACTGGGTGCCCAGCTGACGGATCACTTCAGTGAACTGGGCCACACAAACTACACCTTCGAGCTGTATGGGAAGCACATGGCCTCCGAGCTGGATGTTCAGCTGAATGGAACATTGGCGGCCAGGAACTCATACTACAAGACAGAGTCCACGGCCCATTACAAGCGGGAAATGTTCCCGGCAAGATACGGCAAGTTCTTGGCCCTGCTGGATGTGACCAAGCGGGAACTGGAGTACGAACGTCAGTCCCCATTCCATACGGTGCGTGTGCATCTGTTGCCAACCCTTCAGTATCCGATTTATGGGCTGAACGCCACTCTGTGGGATACACCGGATACGAACCACTCGGGTTATGTGTATGTGGACTTGGCAGAGCGATATGCCCGCATGGACTTTAACTTGTCCGAAGATGCCACCCAGAATCTCCAGATGGTGGGCTACATTCCAGACTCACGCAGTGCCTACCTGGATATCTGGCGTAACTACGAGGAGATCCGCGTGATCGATGTGAGCTCATACCTAAAGATGAATCATTCGCGACTGATCACTGGACGCTTCCATTGGCGCCCGGCCATTCGACAGGATCTACGCGAGAAGGTTCAATCCGTGGGCAAATCCGTCTACAGCTCCTTCTCCGAGGGCATAGACTTCTGGATCAAGTCCATATACACGGAAACCACCGAGTCAATGGGCGTCGTCTGGAACAATGCCAAAGAGTACAACAAAGATTTCATCGAGGACATTGGACAACTGAGCATTCTGGAGGAGGATCTGAACGACCTGCGTCTGTTCGTGAATCAGTCGTACGAGGCTAATGATTTCTACATCAAAAACGTGGTGAACTTCACGCTGACCATCCTGGACGAGCTGGCCATCAGGGATCATATCGAGTCCCTGCCCAAGATCTTCTCGGAACTGTGGCAGGCGATGGGTGATTCTGGCAAGGCTCTGCGCAACAGCATCGTCTGGCTAATAGAAACCATCAAGTCAACTTATAACAATCTGTTGGATGCTGTGAGTCGATTCTTCCACGGCGAAAGCCTGTCGTATATATCGGGTTTGCTGGAGAAGGGTATTGGAAAATACGACAGCTTTGTCAAGGAGCTGCACATCAAGTTCATCAAGTACATTGAGAATCTCTGGCACAAGACCTGGACACTGGCAGAGAATCACTGGAAGAGCGTCTTAAAGAAGTTCGAGCCGCATCTGTTCAAGATGATCAGCTTTATTGAGACGACCGCATGGAATCTCAGCAAGGAGGTGTTCGACTTTATCTACAAACGCACCAACGAACTGGCAGAATCGCCCTACTTTAATACAGTGTCCAGTTTCACTGCGGATGCAGAGCGTCTGTATAGGGACGTGAAGGCTAACGATGCCATCACCAACATCAAAAAGTACTCGACGCTGGCATGGAATTTCGTCAAGGAGAAGTACTTCAAGCTGGTGCCTTTCGGTGCCGAGTTGAATGAGGTGCTCACCGAAATCTGGCAAGAGCTGAAAGAGCTCGAGAAGATTGACCAGGTACAGATTATGGTACAAAAGTACAACGAGATTGTAGCCAAGGTAGAGTGGGTGGCGGATGAGCTGCAACTGGAGTATCGTCTGCATCAGGTGTACGGAATGGTGAGCAATAAGTTCCGAAATTATGCCATGAATGCCCTGGAGACGGCCGACATGTACAGGGAGGCCAAGACAAAGTTCATCTTTGATCCTGAGGTTGGCATCATCGATCTGGAACAGAAGCTACCAATGTCATGGCACGCCTTCAATGAGACCCCGAAATTTGAGGAGATACCCGAGTACCAGGTGCTGGCCAAGGCGCAGAGTTTCTTCAGCGAAACCAATTCCTCGATTGTCATGAAGTTGTACAATATGCGGGCCCATCTGGATCCCAAGACTTGGCTCCCACCCTACTATTGTGAGTTTCTGAAACGTCCAGGATTAGTTTAATTATTTTAATATGAATTCTTTTACTTAATAGCTCGAGCCTTGCTCATTGACTCGCGGCACTATATGACCTTTGACCAGCGCTATGTGGGTCTGAACCTTAACTTTGAGGAGTTTGGCAATGGAAGACCGAATGCCCAGTGCAGATATCTTCTGGCCCATGATTTCTTCAAGCGCAATTTTACCCTGCTGCTGGAACCTGCTGTGAGTATTTACACTCATTTTAAAGAATAAGTGTTTTAAAGATATATATTTTTCAGACCAAATCCCTGACTGGCCAAGGACTCACCCGCAAGCTGAGCTTCATAGCCAATAATCAACTGATTGAGATCGATCTGGGCACAGATGTAGGTTCCTTTAAATAATACTAATCCTATATATGTTCACCCCCTGATTCTCTATTTTATAACCAGCACATCAGCATCAATGGCGATCCGCAACCCATTCTCCCCCTGAAGCTAGATGCTGTGAGCATCCATCGTGATCTGGACGTGCTCTCGATTATCTCGGATACCGAGTTCAGCCTGCATTGTAACGTTCAGTTCGATCTCTGCTGGTTCGAGGTCAGCGGCTGGTACTTTGCCAGGACGGCGGGATTACTGGGCACCTTGAACAACGAACCCTCCGACGAGTACACCATGTCCAATAGTTTGATTGCCAACGACACTCAGGAGTTTACAGACTCATGGAGCCTGAGGCACTGCCGACAGACGGAGTTCGCCAAGACGCAGGAGATTAGTAAGGAGGTCAGCGAGACATGCACTAGTTTCTTCCGAACAGGAATGCTTGCCAGTTGCAGCGCCGTCCTGGATCCCACACCCTTCTACGAGATGTGCCTGGATCTGGGCATGAAATCGCCACCAATACGCAAGGGACATCCGGCAGTCAAGGGAGCATGCTCAGCGGCCTTGGCCTATATCGAGGCCTGTACAGTTCTAAAGGTGCCTATGCGAGTGCCATCGCAGTGTGTGTTGTAAGTTTTCGACTTGTAAAGATATCAGCAGAATCTCTAATCCATTTATCAATATTCCTAGCTGCCAACTCTCGAATGGTTCTTATGTTCCCGAGGGCACTTTCATGGAACTGAGCGGCGGAGAAATACCACACAGCAGCGATGTGGTCTTCCTGGTGGAGGCCAAGGACTGTAATGCCAATCTCAAGACATCCAAGAGCATAATGACCGTGGTGGCAAGCATTGAAGAGCAGCTGCAGGCCGCCAAGCTGACCAACAATCGGTAAGGGTTTTCTTTACAACTCTTAATTCTTCTGATTTCAAATACAATACTTTTAATCCCTTTCCCCTAGATATGCTGTAATGGCCTTTGGCGGAGTAGCTCCCTATGACAAGGCTAGGAGCGTTATATACGAGCACAATGTGTTCACCTCCAAGCCGGAACAGCTGGCGGAATACTTTGGACACATCAACACCGGAAATGGCACCAGCAACGACATCCTGATGGCCATTTCCACGGCAGCGAAGCTCAACTTCCGTCCCGGTGTGTCCAAGACCTTTATCCTGCTCTCCTGTAGTAGGTGTGCGGCTAAGGACATGCGCTTCGATTACACCTCCATTCAGCAATACATGCTGGAGGAGGGCATCACCCTGCATGTTCTGGCAGACACGGAGTTTGACTTTGAGAGCAGCAAGAAGCTGCGCCACTTCTTTGGCCTGGACCGCAAGCTCATCTTCTCGAAACGATTCCCCGAGGGCGACCTGGAGACCCGGAATTCCACCTTTATACCCAAGAGTACTCTGGGTATCTGCACGGCTTTGGCTTTGGAGACGAACGGTTCTGTGTTCAGTGCCCGGAAGCTGCAGCCGGAGCGCAAGTATCCCATCAAGCGATTTGCCACCATCTTTGCCAAGCGCATTGCCTCCAGTGCCAATCCCATTCAGAGCCAAACCTGCGAGTGCTCCGCTCATAATACGGGTGTGGCCTATATGGCCTGTTCGCCGCAATCTCTGCCGGAGGAGAAGTACGATCTGGATGATTATGTGAGTCACTAGCTTGAGATACTCAGACTCTGAGATACTAAGATACTTTTTCCCATCTTTTCGTATAGGACTCCTTTAGCAACTGGGACTGGAGCGATGAGCCTGAGGGCGAGGCCTAAGCTACGCTCTAGTTTTTAGTACTCCGCGATTAGTTAGCTAGTTCAGTTATGTCCACGCCGAATGTAAAGTTTTTTTATAAAGCATAACCACGACAAGACATATTTTGTAAAAAAGAGAAGAAATAAATCAATAAATCACCATTGTAAAGTCAATGCATTTAGCCTTAAGCTCTGTGTGAGATTGCCAATCCAAGAGGTGACCCCAAGCTAACGAGGCAGAGACACGCCCGACCAGTTTTCGGCTTCCTGTTCAATCTCGGCCGCTTGATTAAAAGTTGCCTGACTGCCTAAGGTTGCAAGTTACTAGTTAGTACTGACCAGTGACTATCACTTTCCCAGCTGCAGCAACGGCCATGGCCATGGTTGACGGAAGCAGCTGGAGCTGCAGCTGAAGTTGGAGCTACATTTGGAGAACTCAAGTACGTGCAACAACCTTAACCCTAAAGCCTGGCCAGCTGGAATGGACCATGTCCACGACATGCCCGCTCTTTTTCCAAGGGGGGACCACTTGATACCCGGCTGCTGAACCCAATTTTGTTGATATAACATTTCCCTGGAAAAGCACACAGTGAGTGCACAGCACAATGGGAATTATGCGAGCCGAGTTGCAATATACTTTCTATTTCAATGCTGCTGCCTTGGTTATGGTTACATCAACTCGGTCCTAGGCCCAATTCGCAAATCTTTCACTTTTTTTCTGTGGGCTTTGGGTGTCTCTATAAAAAGCCTTGGACAGAAGGCAGCCATTCGCATTACCTTAGAGAGATCCGGCCAGGTTAGCAGCCGCGTACACAAAATGTGGAGATTTGTAAGTGCCATCAAGTTGGATTAGGAATTATCAAGGATTTACTCTAGTTACTCCTCCACAGATATTGATTTGCAGCATTCAGCTGATTTGCGCCTCGGAACATAGCGCTGAAGGTTTCAGCGGCGGCGGTGGAGATGGACATGGCTATGGAGGCAGTGGCTTTGGAGGCGCCACTAGCTATGGTGGTCATGGTTATGGTGGCAGCGGTGGAGGAGGAGGTGGCGGTGGAGATGCCCACTATCATCATCACACACCCACCACATACTCGGAGATCTCGAAGCATGTGCCCGTGCATGTGATCGAGAAGGTGCCACTACCCATACCCCATCCAGTGGCCGTCCAGGTGCCCAATGTGATCCGGTTGCAGATACCAGAACCCTATGCCGTTCATGTGCCTGTCCAACAGGAGATCCAGGTGCCGGTCTACAAGATAGTGCCCGAGATCACCGAGAAGAAGGTTCCGTATACCGTGGAAAAGCCATATCCCGTGGAGGTTGAGAAACCCTATCCCGTCGAGGTGATCAAACAGATCAAGATTCCAGTGCCGAAGCCCTATCCTGTTCCTATTACCATATACAAGCATGTCCTGCAGAAGGAGCATGGCTGGTAAAGACAATGTGTCTTTTATTTTGGTTAAGTGTGTGTAAGTATTAGGCTGCCCCAGCTCTAGATCGGCTGAGAGTGTACTTAAATACAGAGTTTAAGCTTAAAATTTAAGTTTTTAAATTGGGTTGGTTTAAGGGACAGAGTTTTCAGGGAATTTTCATAAAGTTCTGGAGATTCTGGAAAGCGGGTCAGGTTTGGCCTTAAATAAACAGAGTTACCTAACAAATGTTTTTTAAACCTTCTCATAAAACTACCAAAATTGGAAAACAATCTAAAATTTACTTTAGTTAATTTTCGGAAAAGGTTTCTATCTCGGAAAATATTAATTTCCCAACATTTAGAAAGCTTCTACCATGAAAATTCTTTCTACACAGCAACTCTACATTGTAGAACCCAACAAGCGCGGAAAACCGGAAAAGCTTTGCCAAAGTTTTCCAGCAAAGCTATAATCCAGAACACTTTAGGGAAAAGTCTTTTGCTTTTTTTCAGTTTGAGAATACTTTCTTAATAATGGCGGCAAAGTGCGTATACGTATATACACACCTCACACACACACACACCTGGGCGCCCAGGTTCGTTAAACTTTTGCGAATTGATTGACGCCGCCGCTTCGTGTGAAAAATGCAGGGCAAGCCTCACCTCAAACCGCACAGGTGCGCACGCCCCGAACACCCTCGTCGCCCCCGCAAAAACACAGCTCACTGTGGCCACACCTGGTGTTGCCAAGCCTGGCATATATCCTGCATATGTCCTTGAAGGAGACAAACACTGGACGTGAAGGGAATTTTTCCGCGATTGTTGTCGCCAGTTGGCAATCAATGGCTTTCATTTGTTGCACACGCTACGCGGCAAAGTCATTTAGTCAGTGAGGCAGTCCCTCAGTCAGTCAGTCAGTCAGTCATTCAGTCATTCAGTCAGTCCCTCAGTCAGTCAGTCAATCAAGCGCAGCTGCCGCAAATTATTTATGCACAACTTGTAGCGCCACACGCACACACGCCGGGTGAGGAAAATGTATCCAAAGGATATACATATGTGGAAATGCGAGCACAGTCCCTTACTGTGCGGGTGTGTTTGCCTACGTGTCCGGGAACTTTAATTTCATTCAGACAGAAATACACACACATGCCAGCATAGTTCATCCATTTGTTCTTAGATTCCCACAGTCCCATTCCGAAACCGCACATTTCTCCCTTCAATTTTAGACGAGTTGCAAAGTTTTCGTCTTGCCTCGGCGGCAGGAAGCAGAATAAATGAAATGTAATAGAAATTGCTCGAGTTCTTGCATACATTATTTTACGTAAAATCATCAGAACTTTTTCGTAATTAAATTCTGCCACTCCCCCGAAAAGAGCAACCTTGTGTTGCTTTCCTTTCTCCTGTATTAATTAATTATGAAAATATTCGCAAAGTGATTGTTGTGACTGTTACCTGCAGCAAAATGCATGTTCGGAATGCAATTGTTTTTCCCCCTTCTGTTTCTGTATTTGTGAATCTCTCATCAAATGATTCGGAAAATTTGATAATTGCATGCATGGCCGATAATGGATAATGGACGGGGTCCAATATGTGTGCGTTTGTGGCTTACAGGACAGCAAAATGTGCCGTCGTGTAGATTGGGTAATTACGGCCTGCATGTCCTTTGACGGTTTGATTTATCGGACTAAACAGGAATCGCATTTTGGGGAAATAGTTTTGCGAACGTCAGGGGAGTAATTACCAATGCAGATGTGTTCTAATTTTAGGTTTGTATTTAGTAAAAAAAGTCACTTTAATTTTGCTATTAATTACGCAAAGGAAAATGTATAATTAAATGACTGGGAAATGAAGTTGAATAATATGTCATTGTCATGGGTTTTAGTTATTATTGCTGTTGGTGTATTGATTGGTTAATTTAAATTTTGGAATTGGCAATTTGGACTTTGAATTATATTTAATTGATGGGAGTTACATAGAAATCATTGTGGCATATCAATTAAAGTTGAATTTGTCTAGAATTGAAGCTCATTTTTATGTTAGTAATTTTTTTAATATCATATTGTATATTGTATCTAAACCCATAAACAATAATTACATCTGTTAAAACCTCTGACAAAACACCAGTGTTCCTGCATGAACATAAATTTTAATAAACAAAGTGCTTTGCAGCCATAAATTCGGAGTCGATTTGAAACAGAATACCTTTTAAAATATATCTTTAAAATACTTAAATAGTTTTTACAAAGAATAAAACCACAGATGACAATTTCTGATTCACTTCCTGCTGTCTTTATATTTCCCAACAAAAGCTCAATTGCAATCCTTGACTGACTTTAATCCCTCAATAGCGCACATAGGCAATGTGCCTCCCCAATGATTACCACATCCTTAGGCCACATGTGGCAATTGAATTCATGTGGCCTAAGCCGGGGCATAATATGCGAAAGCCAAGCCTCAATTCCAGCCAATCGATTGGAGCATAAAATGCAAATTAAATTGTCAGAACATTTGGTATTACAGCAGCCAAAGCTCTCAGCCAATGAGCTTAGCCAAAAGTCTGGCAAACAAATTTACAATGCTAAGCTCATGTGAGGGGCCCCAAAAACACAGATGAAAGGGGAACCGGGTTGCGATTCGTGGAATTAATTTAAGTTAATTGATTTTTCTGCCAGGAGCTTTGCACGTGCAAGACTTTTCCGCACTCCGACAGGCAGACAGATACAGACTGAGGTAGATACACGGAATCGATGTGGGGGAAACGGAAATGGAGACGAGGAACGAAGGACTCCGGACTACGGACTCGGGCGGAAATTGACAACTGCCTCGAGTGTTGAGTTGTAAGGGAAATACATTTCCATGCCCCATTCAGAAGCACTCTAGCTCTAGGCCCTCCATTGAGACATCATCATCATCATCACATGTGTGTGAGTGTCAGATCGGCTGACAGGTGGACGTGGCCCTCGATTCCTTCTAGAAGCTCCGTTCCTCCCCCAATTTACCATTTTCCGTTTTGCGTTTTCCCATTTTCCAGCTGCCACAGATAGGGTCTATAAATAGCCCAACCAGCAACGAGGCTGCGTTCGTTGGCGTTATGGAAGCCAAAGGCAGCGGGCCTGAGTTACAAGTATTATTAACGCCGAATTAATCAATTGCCCAGCGATTCGAGTTTGCCTTCACATTGTTATTTTTAAGCATTTCAAAAGGCTGCACTCGCAGGAAATTCACATATACACAAAGCCATGCTTCCTTGGAACTGGAGCAGCTCCTCCCAGTCTAATGAGCCGTAAAGTGGTGTGAATGCATGGAGTCCTTTGATGGAAGGAATATGTGAAAAATTCTCATGGCAAAAATATTGATTGAATTAAACGATGGTTAGGGCAAAAGGTGTTAAATATGCCTCAATTTTCTCTATAATCTCAGCATTTCTTAGGTTTTGAAATGTTCATTGACATAATAGAAAACTATTGAAAATGAATATTTTATTCATATTTCTAAAAGGGGGAAAATGTATGAATTTCTCTTTGTGCTACTTTCCCTTTGATTTAGTGACACATAAGACTTCTTTGCCTGCCCCTAAGGGTATATAATCCTATATTTAGTTTGTGCCTTTTTCTTTGTATCTTCATGTTATTTTTTACTTTTCTCCAGAACCATTTTCCTTTGATTTTAATGACAAAGAAACACTATCGGGGAAAACCTGTTTCTTGACTCGCTAAAAATAGCCTTTACTGGAGGCACTTTACCAGCATCAGAGTCTGGATTAAACATTAAAAATTGCGTAAAAATATGAATCAATGGGGAAACACAAAGGCAAAACCAAACCCAATCTCACTTACTTTCGTTTTTCTTTTGGTTAAATCCCTGGCAGAAAGTAAAATTGAATGGTGAAGTGAGGTTCGCACTAAAGTCATAAAAGTCGCGTGGACCAAATTAGGAGGAATTCTCTGCTGTTTGTGAAGGCAAGCCGAAGGAAGGAATGCTTCTCCGGAGTCCTACTCCGCCTCCATCCCGGTCCCGGTATTTTATGTGCACAACAATTTTAAATGACTTTGAGGAGGCGACCCGGGGCACACACACACACACACCAGATACACACACACACTCACAGGAGACCAGAAGCAGCAGCCGAAAGTAACAGATAAGATTAGACGCCCAAGCCAGTGACAACAGGCGTCGTCAAGATGGCGCTCCACGCCCACATTGCGTATGCGCGATCCAGAACACTGCGAGATAAGTCCCATGAAACATTAGCTTAAATTGAAATTTATTAATAATTAAGAGTTATACCCATTCTTCCTTATCTCGTCGATAATTTTAAAAGTCTTTCATTGGCTTATTTTAATTCAAAATTATTTTATTTGTATCTGATACTCCTTTAAATTTTCTTAATTTGTTATTAAGGAAGCCAAAATGTATATACCTTTGCAGTGAGTAAATTAATAATATCAGTAATTTACTATGACTAGTAAGTTACTATGATCAGTAAGACTCAATGAACATTAAGATCAGTAAGTAACTATGATCAGTAAATAACTATGATTAAAAATGAACTATGAGCAGCAAGTAACTATAAGCAGTAAGTAAATCTGAACAGAAAGCAACTTTGATAAGTAAGTATCTATGACCAGTAAGTATCTATGAACACTAATAAACAATGACTTGCAACTTTTGTATCACAACACTTTACTGCGACATGGCCGACAGAAGGCACTTCGTTCCGGGGATGTTAGAACAAGTTGGGAATCGTAAGCACAGATGTGCGAGATGTATTTTGGAACTAATTTAAGCTATTTGAATGAGACTATTGAGTTATTCTTGTATATATATACACATATATAAAGCTGCCATATGAACGATCGGACGATTTATAGAATTATGATCAGTGATTAACTATGAGCAGTTATTAACTACGATCAGTAATTATCAATGAACGTTAAGTAACTATGAGCAGTAAGTAACTCTGATTAGCAAGTATCAATGAACAGTGAGCAACTTTGACCAGGAAGTAGCTATGACCAGTAAGTAACT